CTTCACTATGCGAACGATCTCACCCCAGTGCGATGATACATAAGTCATACAATCCATCCTTAATTAGTTGGCAGAGCCTACATGTGCTCTGCACCTAATCGCAAATCACTTTTACGAGATTGGCAGGGTCCTGAACTCACTCTTGGCATTGAGCAAGCATCAGTGGAAAAGTTCATGTAAACAAGTAAATACTGGTGATAGCGTGAGTGATGAAATCAAACCACGTAAAGAGAAAGCCAGAGAAGCTTACGCCAACCTGGTCAATCTTTGGTTCTTTCGTGATGTTTCTTCAACTTTAAGAGATCGAATCTACAAGTCGGAAAGAAGTTTTGCTGAATGCTTATGAAACGTGTCCTCCTCTCTGAATTCAGAATGTTACGCGACTTTCTTCGTTTGATCATCTTTGTCTACGAAGGATTGCTGACACTTAATGGAAACATGGTAGTGCAGCGGTCCAGCAATGTGTCCGGGCACAACAACGATAACTCTATTGGTTTCACCATCTTGAAACCCCGACGTCAGTGGCTTGGACATGTACTACGAAAGTGAATTCCATATTGTGCATTGCTTGCCGACAATGGGACTGGTGGGAATAGTTGGAAATGGCTAGTGTATGACTTTGTTCCGTGATATCAAAGGAAGATGTATGACCGGTATTTGCTAATCCTTCAAGACTCTCTAGTTGGGATCCTAGAGGTGGTGTAACTGTGGCCCAAGACGTCATCAGACATGACTGAGAATAAAAGCTAGTAGGTCCTGCTGTAACCTTATTCTAATTTCTTCACATAAGTGGAAGAAATCCCCCCAACCGAAAGAGTTCTTCATGGTTGTACTTTGATCAAATAAACTATTTCTGCCACTAATATTACTATTATTTCACTTTTATACACTAATTTTTATTCTTTGTTTTGTTATACTCACCCTTCTTTCCTTATCACTTCACAATCTCATTTTTATTGTGGCGTATATATTTTTTGGTGCCGCTTGTACTAAAAATAATGATTAACAAATGACAAATACCAAGGAATAGTTTCCCAGGTTTCAACATATCCCATTCAGAAAAGCTGAATAATTAAGCGTAAAATTACTTTCGACATGGGTTTTATTTTCTTTCAGTATATTAGGTAGAAAATACTTGAAAACTATCTATCGGCAAACTGCAGTACTGTAAAATAAATGACACCGGAGTTCACGGGAATGTTGTCATTGAAAGCAGCTTGTTTCCATGTTTTTTTCATTTTACTGAATATCGCAGCATTCCTAAGATTTACAAGTTTTCCGAAAAGAGGAACACATACTTGTAACAGTCAAACACCGGGATATCGAATTGTAGACACATCACTGCATCTCAGTTAACATATTTGCACTTTTATTTATTCAAATATTGCAACTATCCTACAACTCACTTTAATGAGTGAAGCAGAACTATCATGTTCAGAAATTTATATTGTTTGACAGACTGTACACATCTGTACTCCAGAATAATCGAGAAAAATAAGATCACCGATTACAAGTAAACTGTGGTGTCACAGATACAATAAAGGGAATGTCATTGTCTTTTCTGTTGCAGATCCTAACAGTCAGTGGACGAATTTGCCAGATCGGGTTTCGAACAGCTAGCACTACCCAACAAACGATAATCATAACAATCGATTGATGTGACTATTTAAACGCCTACCCGTAACAGATTCATTAAAAAAAATTTAACCAACGGTTTCGTCCCTTATAAATTCACCCTTTTGTTTTAATTGAACAAAGCGAGTATGGTATTGAACATAAGAAATTATTATTCAAACGGTCTTCGAAAAGTCAATATAATCTAGTGGTGAGGCCAGCATAAATCACCTCAACAGGATGGTTTTAAAAATACTCCAACCTTTTTTACAGAGAGCAATATGTAGCGCAAAAAAAACTAGATAGGAAGACCTTTAGAAATTCCTTTTACTGTCCACAAACTGCCACGTAAGAGAGTGGTCAAACCAGTTGCGCCTCCAGGTATAGCAATAATAATTTGCCATACAACTAAACAAATTTGAGAAATCAGAGCCAAAGCTGAAAATACAGCACTCTGCCATACAATCACAGCATATAAACCACCAAATAAGCTGACCAAATAGCTCAGAGTAAAAAACAGGCGCTCGGTACTAAATAAGCCCTTAATGTGATTCCACGGACCCCAAAGAAATGAAAAACTCCCGATTAATAAAATACTACCAAGTGTATGTAATAGTACGTATTTACGCATACCAAAAGGTGTTGCAATAACTGGCAAAAAAACCATCGCCAAACAAAGACACAACGATGCTGAAAGAAGGCATAAGAAAAACCCCATAAGGCGCTGTCGTCGAGACATCCCTTTAAGCATTAGAGGGTCGGTATCAGCTTGATAGAACCAAGACGTAAGACGACCTCGCGCCTCGATTTCAGAGGAAGTTGTAGATTCATCAGGAGAGTTCTGTGATCCATCTGTATTGCTTGACTTTAGAAAACTGAGTAATGGTTCAGGTAATGAAACAGCATCCTCTGAAGATTTCTGTTGATTTGCTATTTTGGAATACAGTGCAGAGTAGATACGACCAGACATTTGACATGAAATCACTTCAGATGAAATATAAAAACGTAACTGTCTACAATAAATGGGATGAAACAAAAGTGAGAAAGCATAAGTGATACCGTGAAAGACTAATAACATTGTAAAATTAGCTTTCAACAGTAATTAGAATAAAAACAACAACTGCGTGCTTCATCCTAACAGGCTCATTCTCTAGGAACAGCTCTAACACGCCTCGTATTTACAGATAAAAACCAAAACAAACACTGGAATAGGTTATCATAACCAATTCCCTAAAGTCATATTTTTACTCCGGATTTATCGAATAAAAAATAACACGTTAATTTGATTCTACTTCCCATAGGGATGCTTCAAGACTGCTTCTGATTTGTGTTTTATATACTATAAGATCATGAGAGATAAATCGTATGGATTGTAAAACAAATGATCAGACAATTATGAAAACTAACCAACTGAAACTTCGTACGTATGTACATAAGTTCATGTTGCCATACCACATTATTAGCACAGAGACGCAAATGTCAAATCAAATCCCATAGTGATAAAGATGGTAGAGGTATTAATGTTATAATAAAGAAGACTAGGGTTTAAGATATTATTCAAAAAATATAATTCAGTGAGATAAGGTTAGAAAGACAAAGGTGGAGGTGCTGACTAATCCAGAAGATTAGGATTTGAGAGAGCTCAAAGAGTGGATGCACCTGCGCCATTGCAAACGATTTTGAGCCATGTCGTTCAAGGTCTCTAACCATTGATGACTATCGTCTCGCGGACCCCAACCAGGTAGTCTACATCTACCAACATGACTCAGTCCACTTGTCAGTGACTTCATGGATTTCTGCCATGTTTTGGTCTGGCCGCCCCTAGCTTTCTTCCAACCTACTCCTACACCACAAAACATAGCTCGTCGAGGCAGTCGGTGGTTAGGCATACGTAACACATGTCCCAACCACCTCAACTGATGAAGTTTCACCACTTCATCGATTGATCTGCCATCCTTACCTAGTACTCGTTTCCTAACGACAGCATTGCTTACTCGGCTGTCCCACGATATACGAGCAATGCTTCTTAAACATCTATGATCGAATACTAGTAACCTACGAACATCTTCTACTCTTAACGGCCATGTTTCACAGCCATATAAGAGAACGGAACGAACTGCTGCGCAGTACACCCGCCCTTTGGTTAGCGAACGGATATCACGCCTACGCCATAAGTGACGCAGGTTGGCAAAAGCCAATCGAGCTTTCTGTATCCGAGCTGAGATTTCGTCAGTCACCAGACCGTCAGCACTGATGAGACTCCCCAGATAAGTGAAGTGATCTACACGCTCGACTACTTCACTCCCTATCACTAGTTCAGGTGCCGATGCAACCCAGTCTTGAAGCAACATTTTGCATTTCGAGGGGGAAAACCGCATCCCGAACATGCTCGCATTGTTGCTTATGGTAGTCAGAAGACTCTGCATTTTGTCAGCGTCTTCACCGAATAGAAACTATGTCATCGGCATATTCTAGATCAGTAAGCGACTTTCCTGGTAGAAGGTCAACCCCTGAAAAATCTGACGAGCTTAATGTTAACTCTAAGAGGATGTCTACGACAAAGTTGAACAAGAATGGAGAGAGTGGACAGCCCTGACGGACACCACTTGATGTAGAGAATTCAGATGACAGTTCGCCATATGCTCTCACCCGACCAGTGGTGTTCGAGTAGAGTGCTTGTATAAGGTTAATGTACTTCTTTGGTACACCTTTCAATGACAGACACTGCCACAGAACCTCACGATCCACCTGAGTCGAATGCCGCCTTAAGGTCCAGGAACACGACTATTGTCGGACGTCTAAATGTGTGTCTGTGTCCAGGACCTGTCGTAGTGTGAAGATGTGGTCTATACAACCACGTCCAGGTCGAAAACCAGATTGGTTTTCTCGAGTCTGCTCTTCGCGAGCTCTAGTTAGACGTCTAAGTATAATCGAGGCTAACAATTTAGAACTATATTAGTTAAACTTATTCCCCTGTGATTGTCACAAGAGGACTTCTGTCCTTTCTTGTAGAAGGGGACAATTAGCGACTGAGACCAGTCAGATGGGATTACGTCCATTTCCCAGATTCTACCTAGGATCTCGGTCAGTCTAACCGTTAAAACTGGACCACCATCCTTAAACATCTCAGGGGTAAGCCTATCGGGACCTGCCGCTCTACCTCTCCTTAGATTTCCTATAGCTTTCTCAACTTCATGTAAACTGGGAGGACTTAAATGATGACTGGAGATCGTGGGCAACCGAAGAGTGGCTGAAGGCCAGTTGAACTGATCCCTAAAGTGTTCTGCCCATCGGTCCAGCCTCCTAGATTGAGAATGGATAATAAGACCATCCTTTTCCGAGATAGTCTCACTTACATTCGGGTTCCTAATACCGGTTTCTTTGATAAGGCGGAAAAGTTGTCTAGTGTTGCCTATCGCCGCTGCCTTTTCCATCGCTTTTGCTTTCGCCACCCACCACTGTTCACGGTCGTTACGTAGGCTTTTTATAAGTCTGCGCCTAAGCTGACTACGCTCTTCATCATGTTCAGAGTCAGGTGGGATGCGTTTTCGTGCATCCATCAGTTCGGTGGATGCGACTGAAATCCACGGCTT